ATACGGATCAGGAAGAAACAGTGAACGGCGATTTAAGCCAGGCCGAAAAGCTGCCGATTGAAAATAAACCTTCAACTGTTGGTGAGGAATCAGCGGAAGAGTCGACTGAGAAATTGGCCAAAGCTGAATTACAAAGGTTGGTGGTTGAAAATTTGTATGTGCAGTAGGATTAATTTCAGCCTATCGTTGTTAATATCGAAGCGCCTCAGAAGATGCATGTGGAAATGGTCGTCCAATCAGCTTTTTGCTCTGACATTGATGTGAAGTACTTCATGCACAGTGACATGATATGCATATCATGGGAAAAAGATTTTATGGGCTGTTTCACTTATTTGAAATATTTCTGACCTAATGATTTTCTGTAATGTAGCAGTCTTTTTTAGTGACGACGTGAAGAGCAGCAGTACGCAACAAGTACAGCCCGAAAGTGGGGTTCCTGAAGAGAAGCCAAGTAAGTCTACGGTAAACGTGCCAAAACAATTATCCGATTTATTTTAGGCGTAACATCTACCGGTGTCAGTCTCTGGGTTAGCGGTTTAGCCTCTACTACTAGAGCTACGGATCTGAAGGTTAAAAGGATATGCAGTAAACAAGCATTCGGAATAATTTATTTTAGGCGCTGTTTTCAAAGTTTGGAAGGGTTTCCACTGCCAAAATTGTTACCTCGGCAAAAGCACCTGGTTCAAAATGTTACGGTTTCGTGACAATGTCAAATCCTGACGAGGCTTCAAAATGCATTCAGCACTTGCATAGAACCGAACTGCATGGTCGAATGATTTCCGTGGAACGAGTAAAACATTTTATAGCATTTCTGTTGTATTAATAATTTATTTATGATAGGCTAAAAGTGATCAACTCGTTGCTACAAAGAAAGCTGGTACAGCAAGTGTATTGCTTCTTAGAAAAGCGGTGACTGTCTCTTCAAATTCAGCTCTTCCTAAATCAGAGGCTCTACCCAAACTAGAAGAAAAGATTGATGTTGAAGCATCAAAAGCAGTAGACCAAAAGATTGACAAGAAAACCATCACGGAAACTGGTACTTCGCAGTATTTTCTAAAAGGTATTTAATGCCATTGTTTGCAGGTCACACTACTGCGAGTGAGCCAAGACGAGATAAAGATATTTCATCCAGGCCGCATGAAAGGACAGAGCGATCAAGAGAACGCTGTGAGTTTGCATGACTTAGATATTTTTGTTCATAAGTTTAGTGTAGTAACAGGTTGATTAATATATTTTCTTTAGCTGGCCCTTAAAAATGTTTCTGCATAGCATTTTTTTGCAGCGGTGTAGTTTTTACAGATAGACATGTTGTTTATAATATAAACTTACTCTGCTGAACATGATGCAGACAAGTTTGAGCTCCTGACTGTTTTTGCCAAGGACAATAACTACGGTTTTCTTGCATATCATTATGACATCCAGTAGAAAATCAAGCAGGCGAGGTGTTTATATCAAATATTTTTGTGCGTTGAAATTAATCGCCAAAGTTCAAGTATCATTAGCAGACATGCTTCCTTATCTGCCATAAATTGCAGAATTTGAATGATAAAGATTATCGTAGCAGTCACAAATAAAGACTAAAATCATGTCATTCCTTTTCGTTTAGCTAATTGAATAAATTCACCCGTTCGCTTACTTGATTTGCAATATAAAAATGAAATCACAAATAGCAAAAATATGCGAGATCGAAACAGTGCAGCACGAGAATTGCGTGCTAAGCCAACCTGAATAAGCAAATGGGTAACTCAAGGCTCAGTAGTTAATATATTTATAGTCCGTGAAATAACTGACACGAAATTAAGAAATATTTAATATTTAGTTAAAACTGTAAATTACATTTTTTTGAATTGATGATTTCTGATTTCTGCTCATTTTTAATAAACCACCCGATGGCTGAAATCGAACTGCAGGCGTCTAGCGAATATGAGTGTAGATCCCCTCCATTATCGCAGTTCAACGAAATCGTGCTATCTCCACTGTGCACGAGTCAATGATTTGCTGCGCGTTTCTTGGCACAGAAGCACTGTAGGAGTTGATGAATTGCCTGCTCAAGAGAATTGCAATTTAAGGTGTTAGCCATGTATAGATTCAAATTCCACAGCTCTGAAATGCAAAACCGAATAAATTAGGCAATTCTAGCGGTGCACACCAGCTACGCTTAAGATCCTCAGGTGAAACCTGACAGGCATGAATAAGTCTGTCTGATGTCATGCATGCGCTCTAATTAAATTAACTTTTTAAGCTAATGATCTACCGCGTTTGATTTCGACATAAAATTGATTGCCGTTAATGATCAGACGAAAATTCGATTGTATGATATTTGTGTTTTCATGTAGTGAAAATCAGGCAGAATCTCAGTTAACATGTTATGAAGAGATTGTGTGACTTAATTGCTTTGCTGCTTTCAATCATTAAGGCATGTATGAATCTGGAAGCTCTTAGATGAAGAAGTAATAGTATTAGGTTTGCGCAAACCTCTCGGCAAAAAGATGCTTTGCTTGTAATATTGAAAGTAACGTTACCGGAAATTGAAAGTGGCTCACGTAATTTGTTCTCTATCTTAAATTAAAGAATAATAAAAAACCGAATAGGCAGATAATCTTTTTCATAACTAAAGAATCAGTATCTTTTATTCGTTATTATTTAAAATATGTTGTTGAAATATGATCGACCTGTGCTTTTTACAACAGAAAGTTTGGCAGCGATGAGTATTTGCCAGATTCTCTCAGAATCATCGAGAAAAATTTAGCATCGTAGAACTTCGGCATCAGCACTTTGACGGGAAATTGTTTGATATGCCCGCATTTCAAATGACTAGGCCCTTGAATGCTTCACAGTTAAGAATAATTTGATATCTAGAACACCTCATTTCGGCCACGATTTGAAATGGCATATTTGGCAGGTAAATATATAGTGCTGCCGTTTTAGCTAAATACTTATACTTAATGAAATTTTGAGCAGTAAGCCAGTCGAGCATTTTTTTAGAAAAAATTATTGCTTGATCTTTAATTTACTTTTTATATTCGTCCATACTACAGTGAAATGTTTAGATTCAAGTCGGCATCATCATCTGTCAAGAAGCCACTCTAGAAGGTATTTCCGTTTTCTCATTTTCGCCCTTCAACAAATTTCGTCCTTATTGAGTTGTTCTGTTAGGCCTCCACGAATTTTTATGAGAAGACCTTATCGAAGAGGTGCCCCATCCTATAGAAGCAGCCGATACATGATGCCGCGTTCTCGACCATACGACATGAGAAGAGACCGCGAAAGTGAAATTATGCTGGAAAAAATGAGACAGCGAGAAAAAGAGCACAAACAGAGGGAAGAAATGCTGCGAATAGAACGCGAGAAGGCACGTTTAAGGTAATTATCCTCTACAGTCACCCTAACATAATTCTACAGTAGTTAAACTAGTAGCATGTTTTGTTTTTGAAACTAAATGTTAGTTACTGCAGTTGCCTTGGCAAGTCTTGCTAGTGGCTTCAGAAAGGACGGTGAAACAGGTACTGCTTGCCCAATCGACTCACCTTGGTATAGCCAAGAATTACCTGCGCGAGTGCTCCAAATTCAGTATACTTTTTGCCGAAGCTCAAACGCTAAAGCAGTATTGGATACGTTGGAAACACTGTCTGGCTCATTTGCCTCCGCGATCTGTAATGAGAAGCGATCTTCGAAATTGAAATTACTTCTAATCTTCACCGAATTCTGTTAGTCAATGCAGGTTACTGTTGAACTGCGAATGCAAATTTAAATTTGTTAGTCATGCTTTACTGTAAACGGTGCTTTCTACAATTTGTTGTAAATTTAAAGGTCTTAAAAGTTTCTATATCTGTGTGCATGAATATTAATAGGCGGAATCTGTTTTAATTTCTTATGTGAAGATGAGGTATTGCTAAATTTTTGTCACACCCTCCAGACCTGTTTTTGTCTTCATTTTCCATGGCCGCTTCTACTTTCGGGTCGAGGAGACACACGCGTCAGACAGAGGTTCCAGCGTTCGCGATCCTGTGCC